CAAATAAACTCCTCAACCTAAATCTGTGGCAAACCAGATCAAAATCGCTTGCCACGTAGGCATGAGACAGCCACATTTCGCCACACGATGCAGTCCTCGAACGGCAGTTAGCAACAGTTAAGTTGACCGTGAGAGGAGGGGCAAAATTGCTCGGATTGTAGAGTTCAGGGGCTTAAATGCATCAATTAGAGTCTAGGGGCTTAATAGCGATTCTGGGGTTGGTTCAGGGGCTTAACTTATAGTTTTGCCAAATGAAATACTGTACTACCTTCCTCTAATTCTATTCAAAAAAAAACCTTCCTATGTAGTCGTGACATTTATTATTTTTGTCGGTAGCGGTTAAAATATTTTTCAATAAATTCTGTATATATTTTAAAATTAATTTTAATTTAAATAATACATTTAGATTAAAAAATAAAATAACATTTTTTTTCTTAATTAAATTATGAAAAATATACATATTAGTCTTGATTTTAAAAAATAATTAAAATTTCAACATTAAATTATGTGATTTTATTTAATTTAAATTTAATTTAGATTTTAAAAAATTATTTTATTAAATATTAATATTTAATTTAAAAACTAATTATGTTGAAATATATAATAAATTTTTAAATTTAAATATTAATATTTCATATGATAAAATTTTAATTTTTAAATATAAATTAAAATTTTAATCATTTTAAAAAATTAAAACTAATATATACCAACTTCTTAAATTATAATATTTTAAAAATATTATAATTTAATTAATTAAAAAAAAAATCCCCCTGCTTCCTTCGATTCAAGCATACCATACGAATGCCGCACAAAAAATTAGTGAAAAACGTTGGAGATGGGGCCCAGCCTAGTTCAAACCGGTGACCACTTGGTCCGCGGTCGAGTGAGCTAATAACGCTTGGTGGTTATCACATTTATTATACAATGTTCAATGTTGTCCATGTTTGTCACACTTTGTACTTTTATAAATGTATGAAATACTTTATTTTATTTTTAGTTGTACAAGTATTTTTAATAAATTTTTTATTTAAAAAAATAGACAAAAATAAAATTTAAATAGTTAATGAATAGTGATTGTGCTTTTTTAACTTTTTATTGAACTTTTTTTTTTTTTATATATCCATAAAAATGTGACAAAGTAAAAATAGATTGAAGTAGTAAGTTTTTTCATAGACAATGAAATGAATATTGTACCTTAATTACTAGTAATGTGTTGAATTGGTTTAAACATATTAAATTGATGAGCATGTTTGGTTTAATTGAAACTTCATGTAAAATTAGAGTATGGGTTTTCCTATATATATTTAAATATTTATATATATTTATTATGTTGTGGTTATATCTCTCTTACGTTAAAATTTATACTCAAATGTAGACTTAAACATTAAAAGGATATTTGTTTTAGTGTTTTAAAAACAATTATTAATAATTAGTTTTAATAGTATGTTTGAATTGAAAGAAATGAAAAGGATGAAGGGGAGGAGAAGAGAAGATTTTTTTATCAATCAATTACAATATTAAAAAAATATTATAATTTGATTAATAAAAAAACTTTTCCCTCTCCTTCTCTCAACCCAAATATAGTATAAATAAATGATTCTTTTTTCAATAAAACATGTTAATCGGTTGAAACTTTTATAAAAGAGAGAAGTGAAGAGGAAAATGAAAATTCAAATCTTAATCATGTGAATGAAGAAACTCTTTTTTACAAATAATTTGACTAGTTACTCTATAAATTTCTCTCTCCACGTGAACTATTTAAATACTTTAATTTATAAATAAAAACAATTATCATTTATAAAATATATTAAATATCAACTAATAATTACATCTAAACATTTAATTCAAATGTCTAATGGGTTGTATCATGAGAAGGTAACTTCCATTCTGTGGGCTGCACGGTGGGAACATGGTGGAAATTGACCAAACACGTTGCATTCAACTTTCTCAACCTAATCCTTCATTAATTAACATTAATTAACTATTGTTTTCGAAGACCCGAATAGAAAACCTTTGTTACCAGTTCTAGAAAGACAAGACAATTAAACAAGAGATCCTTTCCATGAGAAATAGCATTTTTTGCCTCTAGTGTGGAAAATTAAAACCCACGTTTGGTGTGCCTGCCAAACACACCATACATCGCCATCAAAGGGGCTTTTTTTTTTTATTTTTATTTAGTCAATAATCAAAGATGGCTTTGAAAGCATCGTTTCCAACATTAACATCATTCAGCTAAAATTCTACTGAGTTTGGCACGTTGAGGTGGAAAATTAAATAGAACATGAAAAGAAAAATAAAAATACATTTTTTTAATATTTTTCTTATGTTTGACTTATTTACACGTGAATGGAAAAAACTAATAAAATTCATAATTCTAAAATAGTTGTTGGAATGATTAAAAACTTAAGAATTGATCCTTACAATCTTACAATTATGGATTTTACACTTGCATATTCAAGTTTTCTCTAAATTTTTAATAATTTATTTATACTATATATCCTTGCACTGATTTTCTTCTCTATAAAAAAAAAAAAAGGTCAAAGGATCAAAATCAAAATGATTTTCATTTTTAGAGAGTGAAGATACGATGCACTCAAAATTTGATTATGCATTTTAAAAGCCCAATTCATTTCAGGCCGAAAAAGGAGTTTCGTGCCATTTTGGGCTAAGACTAAACCCCAACAATTAGAGGCCAAAATTTGGGCCGAGCCGCAGCCCACTTACTCCAATTTTCCAGCCAACCATCCGACCAACGGTAATAACAGTTTCAAAACCAAAAAGGGAAAACTCCAACAAACCCTCTGCAAATTTGCACCTGAAATTACATCCCAAATTCCGCCTGAGACCCTTCACTTTCCGGCTAAGTGATGGCCGTGGGTTTTCTTCTCCGGCCATGGACCATCATCTTGTCGTGGTTCCTGTTCATCCCGTCTTCTCCGTTCGCATCCTCCGCGTCCGACTCAGACGCGCTGTTAAAGCTCAAGCAATCCTTCACCAACGCGAATGCTCTGGATTCTTGGAAACCCGGATCCGACCCTTGTAGCAAAGAGGGGAATTGGAAGGGTCTGGTTTGCAACAATGGCGTCGCCATGGGTCTTCGTCTCGAAGGAATGCATTTGTCGGGGGCGATCGATGTGGACGCCTTGCAGGAAATTAAGGGATTGAGAAGCATTAGTTTGATTAATAATTCTTTCTCCGGATCCATTCCGGAATTCAATCGATTGGGATCTTTAAGGGCTATGTTCTTATCGGGGAATAAGTTTTCCGGTAATATTGCGTCGGATTATTTTGTCAAAATGGGTGCTTTGAGGAAAGTCTGGCTCTCGGAAAACGAATTCACCGGTAACATTCCGGCGTCGTTGGGTCAGTTGTCTCGGCTTATAGAATTGCATCTCGAAAACAATCAATTTAGTGGGCGTATCCCTAATTTCAATAATCAAACCCTAGTTACTCTCAATTTGGCAAATAACAAACTTGAAGGGGAAATTCCTCCCAGTTTGTCAAGATTCGATGCAAATTCGTTTGTGGGAAATCCAGATCTTTGTGGAGAAACGTTGGGTGTAAAATGTGAAAAGAAAGGTGATAAATTTGGCATTATTGAGCTAGATTTACGCAGGAATTATTACAGAAAAATTATGGTTGCTGCAATTGTTACATTAGGGGTGATGCTTCTCATTGTGGTGATCATCTATGCACTTAGATGGAGGAAAAAGGAGAAGGAGAGTTTAGAGGTGTTTCGAAAAGATAGACAGATTTCGATGGAGTCGATTGAAGTGAAGGTTTCAGTGCCAAAGAAGAAACAGGAAGAAGAATTGAGCAAGAAGAGATCAGGGTCTAGTCGAAAAGGGTCTCATAATAAGGGAGGTGGTGGGATGGGAGAACTGGTAATGGTGAACACTGAGAAGGGTGTTTTTGGGTTGCCAGATTTGATGAAAGCGGCAGCTGAAGTGCTTGGAAATGGGGGGTTGGGATCTTCGTATAAGGCGATGATGGCTAATGGAGTAGCCGTTGCAGTGAAAAGGATGAGGGAAATGAATGCAGTGGGAAGAGAAGAATTTGATGCAGATCTTAAAAGGCTTGGCAAGCTAAAGCACCCTAATATCTTGACTCCTTTAGCTTACCATTTCCGCAGAGATGAGAAGTTGTTTGTCTTTGAGTACCTTCCCAAAGGCAGTTTGCTCTATCTATTGCATGGTATGAATATTTCTTTCCATGAAATCAGTGAATTTATTTGGTAGGTAGCCGATAGCTTATAGTGGTTATTAATTGAAGAAACTATTGTTTCCCAAGATGTTAATTAACTTATTACTATTTGATTACATGTTCATGTAGGTGATCGTGGACCATCACATTCTGAATTAGATTGGCCTGCCAGACTAAAGATCATAAAGGGAATTGCCAAAGGATTGGACTATCTTTATACTGAACTTGCTTCTCTAGATGTTCCCCATGGAAATCTCAAATCAAGCAATGTTCTCTTTGGGTCTGACAATGAGCCACTACTATCTGAGTATGGATTTTGCCCTTTCATGAACCCTGATGCACAAGTCTTGTTTGCTTACAAGACCCCAGAAGCTGTCCAAACTGGCAAAGTGACCCCAAAAAGTGATGTGTACTGTCTAGGAATTGTCATTCTTGAGATCATAACAGGAAAATTCCCTAGTCAATATCTCAACAATGCTACAGGTGGGACTGATGTGGTTCAATGGGTTGAATCAGCTATCTCTGAAGGGACACAGGCTGAACTATTTGATCCTGAGATTGCAAGCTCTGGAATTTCCAGTGGCATGGAGGAGCTTCTCCAAATAGGTGCAGCTTGTTGCCAGAGTAATCCCGAGCAGCGGTTAGACATGAAAGAAGCCATTAAAAGGATAGAAGGGATAAAGATGGAGTGAGGTAGTTCACCGTCTTCCAGCTAGTTGGGGCAAGCGATTTAATTTCCTGCAGATCCTGTGAAGAAAACTTATCAATCTCTGAACCAACTATATTTATCTGGATTAATTGGGATACAGAAAGAATGAGCTGAAGTGATTTTAATTTGCTGTACGGTGTGCGGATCTTAGGTAAAAGAAAAAGGAAAGATAAAAAGGATGAAGAATACCATACATTTGTTCATTTGTTGTATAATGTAAATTAGTACATTTTATTCTCTTTTAATCAACTTGTGAATTACTTTTTCTTCTGCTTCTGTAAATTATAATCCTTAGTTCTACTTAATATATAACTCAATGCACTTTGGATTAATTCTTCACAAATCGTTCAATTTTGCCCTGCCCCACATCCCATTTTAGGTTCAATCCGTCCAAAATCTGGCAGTTTCATTTTAGAAAAGAATATAACTTAAGGAACTTGATTCATGTATCTAGAGATGCAACAATAAAGATTTGAATTTGAGATGTCTTAAAGGTCCCACGTTAATAGAGACATGATTATGTAAGAAAGCATGATTTTTGGGATATCATTTCATATACTAGCTAAAACCATCCAAGTTATCAACTGCATTGCCTGATTAATTAAAGACTCCAGCTCCTGAATCCGGATGGGACATTTCAGAACCCAATAATTCCAACTCATTTACAGACTATATTACACAACCCTTCTCCATCTCACTTACCTAAAAACAGCTGGAGATTTAACTTCCTTATAAAAAAAAGAGAGGCCCAAATTTACAGTCTCCAAAGTTCTAACCTGCCACAAACGGCAATAACCAACCTTCGCACTGCAATTCCCAGAAACAAAATTAATTAAACACCATCTTACCAAAGTCCCATAAACTTGCACTTTGAACCAGGACACACTAATTCTGTCTTCTTCCTCACCACTAAAAATCTTAAATTAAAATCCAAAACCCTAAGTACTAAATGAGAAATGATTCAGTGGTTGAAAAAGTAAAGGTGGCAAGTAGGCCGAATTTTTTAACCATCGATCATGGTGCAGGTCTCGGATGCCCCCACAACATTAACGACCGAGGTTTATTCATCCTGTTTTGGCCTTTACTTCTCCGGCCGCTGAATCATTTCTATAACAAAATTAACCCATTTAAAAAGAATTAAAGTTGAGATTCTCAACATCTTCTTTAAGCAAAGGCAAAAAGGTACATATAGCAAAAAGCCAAAAACTCTGAGTTTTCTCTAATTTTCTAAACCATGCCACTCGTGCAATGCTAATTTTAAATCCCTTCCTCTGTCTAGATTATTGCAGAAACAATACATTTTGTATGCGTCCACCCCATACAAGATTCCTTAAAGATCTCTCCATTTTTGTAAATTTTTTTTTTAAAAAAACCATACACCTCTACATCTTGTGTTAAATAATGGTTTTGTTGTGTCTCTTTTTTCTTTTTTTACAAGAATAGTTGTTAGGAAGTTAATTAATTAATTGTTAACAACTGAAGATTTTATCGTCAGATTGGATGAACATTTCACCCCTCATTTGAGGCGCGAAACCAACAGACCGATTTGGTGGAGTTCTTGTTGTTGTTGTGTCTCTCTGATCTGCTCAGTATTTGTGTAAATATCTGATGATGATCTGCGTGCAAGCATCCATGCATGCAGGCACATGAATGTCAGCCTAATTAACTTCACACTGCTATAAGTTGACTTCAAATTTGCTCTTTAATAGTTTTAAAAAAAAAAATTTTGTGCAGTTGGCATTATATATATTAAATTACACAATTTAAACTATTAAAAGTAAGTTAGGCTTCTTGATATGGTTACCTCCTATTTAATTGTTTGTATCTTGTAATTTAATGCACTTTAAATTAACTATAAAATAAAAAATTTTAATAGTTTTCACTCAATTTTTTACATGCAACTTTAGGTAATACTTTATATAATATATATAAATATCAATTTAAATAGGTTATTGACTAAACGAAGCTAATCAACAAGAATTATGTTAGAACGTTAGTCGAATGATTAAATGAAGATGGTAACGTGTTAATTAACTTGTAAAAAAACAAGTTATAACTTATATATATATATATATATATATATATAAAAGATAATTATACATTACAATTACATAAAGGGTAAAATAGCCAATGACCTAAATAACTTATTTGTTATCTCCTTCTATTGAATGTAAAGAATCATAAATTTGAATCGTATAACATACATGTAAGTGAGCTGAAATAAAGAATTATAAAAAATAATTGTATCTCATTATTAAAAAAAAAAAAAGTAAAACAATAATGCTACTTTTCAGGTTCAAAGGCAAGACCTAGGTAAACCTTGACCAATAGTGGGCCACAAACGTGGTTGACAAGTAATAGCTTTTTGAGATAGAGGAAGTGGAAATTAGGTATGTGTAAGGACGAGGCAGCAAAGGTAAACGGAAAAATATGCTGATAGTTTGATGATGAGTTATTTGAGAGAGAAGAAGGGGTGGCATCATCGGCAGACCAAGCTGTTGCTTGGCTGGGCTACAACCAAGAGCATCTGGATTTTGTTTAACGCCTGAAAATTAATTTTACAAAACGTCAACTTTACTTTTTGTATTAGAATTATAAGAGTGTCTTATTTTACCATTTGAATTATATTAGATTACAAAATAAAAATTATTAAATATATGAAAAGGACAACTTTAAATGACAAAGAAATCACTATTGTATAATAATTTAAATTATTCAATTTTGATTGCACAATAATATTTTTTTATTGTAAAATGTCCAAATGATGTTACTTTGGGTTAGTTTTTGTTGCAATAATATTATTTAATTTGGTAGTCAAGGAAAGTTAAGGTTTTAGCTAACAATATCTTTGAAGTTTGAATTATTGATTATGGAATGAAGATGGTAGTAATCCAAGAAATTGTGGTTTAGTTGATAAGGGAATTTGTTTCTTACCTTGTTAATCTATGTTTGATTTTTTTAAAAGACTAATGAAGATGTAATTTCTCATGAATTCTTTAGTTTTGACATTGATGGCTTGTCTTTGACTAAATAAAAGAGGAATTAGTTTTAAGATATGCACAAATTAATTAAGGGATACCTTGGTTGCTAAAAGAAAAAATGAAGATGGAAGTGCCATATGCATTCCGCAAGCTGCTGAGGGCACACACTTTATTTTTTAGAAGAAAAATGCAGTTAGGTTAATTATAGTTTAAATGTAACGGGAAAAGAAGTAGGGATGGCCATTAGGCATGGGTAGCCCTATCACTGCATACTTTACTCATTTAAGTAAATATTATACTTGAATTTTGAGAAATTAGATAAGTAGTGGGTATAAAAAGTGAATATTCATAAGTTTCCAATCAAATAACAAGTATATGATATTTAGATTTTAAGGTTGATTTTTTTTTTTTTTTGTTTGGACCACCTGGTATCCAGGAGTTCATTGGGCCACTGACTAATTAAGATTCGAGTTGGGCAAAACTCTTTCTCATGAGTTTTAACGGAATTGCATTCTCAAAATTTAAAACCAAAATCTCTGACTAAGTTGAAAAAATCTCTTATTAACTTATCCACCGCTTGTGGGTTAGATTTTAAGGTTGATTATAAGCGACTCCAACTAATTTGCTTGTTATAGTTCTTGTTATTTTCATGATTGTGCTTTTGACAATTTTTCAACAGTTCGAGGTGTTGGATTTTTTATTCAAATTTTATGAAAAAATAATAAAAGGAGGGGTTAATGAAACTAATTTTTAGTTTTTTATTATTATTTTAAATTATATTTAAGTTGGATTGTAGTAAATAATATTTCTTATTAAATTTTCACTAGTTTTGTTTAAGTTAAACAATATTTAATTAGATTTTAAGTTGGATGTTTCATTGTATTTTTATTTGTATAGAAATTCAAAATAAAATTTATTCAACAACTACATAAATATACTTCCCAAGTTATCCAATATCCTTTAGATTAGGTACTAAGTATAAAGGTTTGAATAATTGAATAAGTACTAAGTCTTAAAAATTATACTTAAAAATTTTCAATCAACCATCAAATATAATTTATATCCTATATGTGCACAAAATTTCTCACCCCTAGACCCAAGAAAAAAAAAAGAAAAAGATTTGAACCTTTTTTTTTGGCATATATAAACAATTAATTACTTAATATTTTTAAATTAACAATTACTAATTCAGGGAAACATTTGATAAGTTTAAATTTAAAGAGCTCTCTTAAGTGCATGTATGGTCTAATTATCCAAACACTTTTGGTGGACTTGGACCCACCTAAACCTATAGGAGAAAGGCCGAGCTTAGCTTAGAACTAATCACTATAAATAATGATAAGTAATCAAGATGAATTTTATGGGATTAAAATTTGATACTAATAATATGGCTTAATTTAATTTTTAGTCTATTAACTATCACCTTGATTTCATTTTAGTCTAGAAACTATGTTTTATTTCTAAGTGATCTATTAACTTTCAGATTCATTTCAATTTCGTCTACTTGGTAAAAGATAACGGAAAACCTCCTATTCTGTTAGAGAACAGTTAGTCCTTTGACTATATTTTTGTTAATCTTTTAATCTTTAAATTTATATTTGTTATAAAAATAGCCTTTTTACTTAAAATTATTATTTATAGGTTCTGATACTAGATTTTTATACGGGTTTTCCTATTTCTTTAATTTGGTATCAGAGCCTGAAAGTAAATAGACCACTTAGAAATAATAATTTTAAGTATAAAAATCTGGTATCAGAGTTTAAAAATAATAATTTTAAGTATAAAAGCTATTTTTATAACAAATATAAATTTGAGGACTAAAAGATAAAAAAAATATAGTTAGAAGATTAATTGTTCTCTAACAGAATAGAAAGTTTTCCGTTATCTTTGACCAAGTAGACAAAATTGAAATGAATCTGAAAGTTAATAGACCACTTAGAAATAAAATATAGTTTCTAGACTAAAATGAAATCAAGGTGATAGTTAATAGACTAAAAATTGAATTAAGCCCTAATAATATGATATGAATTAAATTACTTAAAATATAAAAAAATAAATTTTATATTATTTAATAATTTATTTTTTATTTTATTAAAAATTATAATATTATATAAAGTATTCATCAACTTACTTAATAAAATGACATATATTACATTATTATTATTATTTTTTAAATATTTAATTATAGAGTCGGTTCAAACCATTGCCTTTTGAAGAGAGGGATATGAATTTTATAACAGTCATTCAAGTCACTTGACTGACAGACCAGATTCAACATATATTACCTTATTAATTTAAATTTTGGAGAAAAATTTAGTCCTCTCACCATCCCCACTCAATCACTATGATTAACTGACCAATCAACTTTCCAAAAGCATTCTACGTGTGTGGCGTAACGATCATTTGTTGCCCTTTGGAGCAGGCCGTGGTTTACATTTCATGTTTCGGGTTTAATACCCTCCTTACACATTAATATTTCTAACACACTAACAACTTTAATCATTGTCCTTTTCAAAAAAAAAAATCAACTTTCCAAAAAGCGGACAAAAAAAGGTTAATTCCAATTTCATCCTTAAACTTTGACTTTTAAACATTTTTGTCCCTAATTTATTTTTTTATACTTTTTTATCCCTAAAGATGAAAAATGCATATTTTTAATATTTTCGTCAATTAGTCAATTAAATTTGTAAATATATACACAATGTAAATATAATATAAGTTGAGAGATTAGAATATATTTAAATAAATTTAATGGATTAATTGACGGAAGGATTAAAAAAATATAAAAATAATTTAAAAATAAAAAATATTTAAAATTAAAAATTTAAGAATTAAAATGAGGATTCAACCAAATAAAAAATAGCCGCAACCTCACCGGAAAATATCTATCGTCGACAGCCGTGACAGTAATCACAGTCAACAATTTAGTCAGATTAAAAAGTCAAGAATGCCCCTTTCATATCGTCTCTACCGCAACAATCAATTTTAAAATATTTTTACGGCCAAAATCGTCAACTCGAAATTGAAATGATAAAAAAATATTTTAATTAGTTAAATTCAAGATAATTTAATAATATGTTCCAAGCAATAGTAGGAATTTTAAGTTAAAATTGTTCATCTTTCACAAGTGCACGTGTTTGAATCTCATGAATTTTTTTTAAATTAATATATGTAAATAATTTTAATTTGTTTAAATAAAAAAACTAAGTTCAAGATAATTTATTCAATTTATGTCCGGTTAGAAATTAATAAATTTTATAATAAAATATTGTTAAATTTTTATTGAATTGTTATTTGTTTTTATATTTAATTAAAAATTAATATAAAAAATTAATAAAATAATTATTAAGCGTGTTTTATATAAGAAAGTTAAAGAAATTTTTTTAAAAAAAGTATAAAAGGAAAATTTTATTAATTAGACATTATATCAAAAAATAAAAATAAAAATTTTATTTTTAATTTTTGGTAATATTAAGATAAAAAAATATAAATAATCTTATAAAAAAAAGGTTAATGAGAAACTTACATTTTCAACTAAACACATCTTAAAAAATTAAAAATAAAGATGTTATAGTATTTTAAACGTTAAAATTTTATACATAATTATTTAATTACTCTTTAATTTTTTTATGTATTAATTTATTAAACAATTAAACATTATAATTTTCTTTTTATAATTTCTGATATTTTAATTCGTACTATTCCCCGAGTGGTTTGCGCGGTCGATGACTACGCGGGAGAGTTGCTGTGAGTAGACGATTGACAGAAGTGGAGGTTTCTTGGCAACTGACGCGGTGAGGTTAAAAGGGCGTAAAGAGCGTGTTTGGCAAAAGCTTGACTTGAAAGTTGAATCTAAAATTGTAAATCTTGATTAAAAGGGTGATGTTGAAATAAGTGGGTTTAAGTCTTTGAAATGTAATAAACTAAATACATATATTTGATTTAAAATTTAATTTCACCTTTTTTTTTCTCTTTTGAACGAATTTATATTTGGGGAGGGAAGATTCGAATCAACTCTTAAACTAAATGACGCACTTTATAATCCAAGTTATACTCGTGTGATCATGAGATTGGTATTAGTTTCACCATATTTTAGTCTAATTAAATAGTACAATTGAAATTAAAGGACCCTAGTTCAATTACACTTCTTAAAACTTGTGGTTTTTTTTTTTCAATATTAACAGTGTGATTTGAATCTTACACTTCTAAGTTATAGTATAAAAAATCATTTTATAAGGATAAAGTGACTAATGAGCCACAATGATGTTCTCTTATTAAGTGTTGATTTATTTAATAAAAAAACTAAAAATTAAAATATATTGATACTTTATATATTGAGATTTTTTTGCAAAAGTATTAAAAAACTATGCCCATACTTTGACATACTTTTATTTAAGGGTACCTGACCTTGTAACCCATGTTACATTCAAATTATAAACTAAAAAATATAAGTAAGGGGATAAATAAACGAAAATGGGCGTAAACAAAACCAAAATATAAAGGGTTTGTCACATGTAAGGAAACCTATTACATAGTATAAATTACATTAAATTATAAAATATTAATAATTAAATAAGAAAAGATCCAAATATTAAAAAGTTAATTATTATTTAATAATAATTATTATATAATTTAATACAATTTAAACTATAAAGTACTTTTATATTTAATGCAAAACTTATCCTTTTGTTTATTTAACTTGCACATGAAAAATAAAACTTGCAACATTAACCGTGCTAGAAGTGCACCATGACCATGCCCTTTTGTCAAGAATTTAAACTGCAGCAATAGTATCAGTGTAACCATCACAACTCATCCAATTTCCACAGTTCAAAAAAAAAAAAAAAAAAAAAAAAAAAGGAAGAAAGAAAGAAAGAACGAAAGAAAGAAAAATTTGCACATGAAAAAGACCAATCTCTTTGAATTTCACGTTCGGACAAAAATATCCATCAGCTTCCTTGTTAGACCACGCATCCACACTATATCTTCCCCCTTCAGTTTCTCACTTCCCAAGCCACAAGTTTCCTAATTTCGCTGATCCACCTTCAGCCACCCGTACCACCACCACGACGACCCCCACCCCCGCCGCTGCGACCATCACCGCCGCACCCGAATCTAAAGTCACCACCTTTCCAGGTTCTATACCATAAAAATTCGAACTTTACTTTTTTTCAATACCCTAGGTCACTAAGGAAAAAGCAGGAAAATCCCATTTCTCTTTTTGGATTTTTTTGGCTTACTCTCCAGAGATTGAGAGAGAAAGATTTGAGATTTTTAGCTTTTGGGGGGATCAGAAAGTGATTGCCGGATTATTGGGTTTTAGCGGAGGGTAGTGATGGAGCTGCCGGAGAGTAACAGTACCGGTGATGACAAGAGTGTGGGATTTGAGGCCGCTAAGAAGATTATCCTGCGGTGGGACTCTACGGCGTCGGAGGATGCCAAGGAGAAGATGATCTTCGAATCAGATCGGCAGGAGGCCGATCTTTACCTGCAAGCCGTCGATGAAATCCAACGGTCCTTGTCCAACGCATCTCTCTCCGACGATCGGTCCAAGGCGACCACCATCCAGATCGCCATGGCTCGCCTCGAGGATGAGTTCCGGAACATCCTCATCACCAACACCGCCGCTCTCGAGAGCGAATCACTCACCGATCCTACCTCCTCTTCCTCGGTGCACTCTCACTTGAGTTCCAGAAGTTCGAATTTTGAACCGGAGGAGGAGTTCATCCTAAACACCGAGAAGCTTCTAGAACTCGAACACTGCGAGTCGGCCGATAGTTCCAGGGGCAGATCCACCAGTAGCATTCGCGAGATGGATCTGATGCCGCCGGAAGCGATTTGCGATTTGCACGCCATAGCTATGCGGATGATTTCCGCCGGCTACTTGCGGGAGTGTGTTCAGGTGTACGGCAGCGTGAGGAAATCGGCCGTTGACTCTAGCTTCCGCAAGCTAGGGATTGAGAAGCTGAGCATCGGGGACATCCAGCGGCTAGCGTGGGAGGCTCTAGAGGGCAAGATTCGGCGCTGGATTCGCGCCGCCAGGGTCTGTGTCCGGATTCTGTTTCCCAGCGAGAAGAGACTCTGCGAGCAAATCTTTGTTGGCGTCGGAACGAGTATTGACGATGACTGTTTCATGGAAACAGTCAAAGGTCCGGCAGTCCAGTTGTTTAACTTCGCCGAGGCAATAAGCATCTCCCGGAGGTTGCCAGAAAAACTCTTCAAGATTTTGGATGTACATGACGCTTTGATGGATTTACAACCGGACATCGAGGTTGTTTTCGACTCGAAATCATCCGATTCAATCCGGGTACAGGCTGCCGAGATTCTTTCCCGATTGGCCGAGGCTGTCAGAGGGACATTGACGGAATTTGAAAACGCCGTTCTCAGAGAGCCGTCCGGTCCTGTTCCGGTCGGAACAATTCACCCTTTAACAAGGTATGTCATGAACTACATCGGTTTGATATCTGACTACAAGCAGACTTTGATTGAGCTCATAATGTCCAAACCCTCAACCGGGTCAAGATATTCCGGCGACCCCACGACGCCGGATATGGACTTTGCAGAATTGGAAGGGAAAACCCCATTAGCCCTTCATTTGATTTGGATTATTGTGATCTTGGAATTCAATTTAGAACGAAAGTCTAAGCAATACAGAGATGCATCTTTAGGACATTTGTTTATCATGAACAATATACGTTACATAGTTCAGAAGATTAAGGGGTCGCCGGAGTTGAGGGAAATGATAGGAGATGATTATCTGAGGAAGCTGACAGGGAAAGTCCGGCATGCAGCAACTAATTACCAGAGGGCAACTTGGGTGACTGTGTTGTATTGTTTAAGAGATGAAGGATTACATGTCAGTGGGAGTTTTTCTTCTGGGGTGTCCAAGAGTGCATTGAGAGAAAGGTTTAAGACCTTCAATGCTATGTTTGAAGAAGTGCATAGGACTCAAGCTTCATGGATAGTCCCGGATACTCAGCTTCGGGAGGAGTTAAGGATATCCATATCAGAGAAGTTGATCCCTGCATACAGGTCGTTTCTAGGCCGGTTTAGGAGCCATATAGAGAGTGGAAGGCATCCGGAAAATTACATCAAGTACACAGTGGAAGATTTGGAGACTGCCGTATTGGATTTCTTTGAGGGGTGCGTTGTATCTCAGCACTTGAGGAGGAGATCTCAGTGAAAGGAATGAAGAATTGAGTTGATAGCCAAAATTAGAAGACTAGAAGCCATTCTTCCAATTTTTTATACGATGTTTGGGCAATGCCAGTGCTGGTAAATCCGAGCTTGCCCTGAGCTCTTTCCATTATCATCTACTTCTACAGTATCTATCATGTCCAGGTCCCCATAGCCTGAATGCTTTCTGCACTGTAAGCATTGTGTCTGTTTGTTGTACCACATTCTGGCTTTTGCTCCATTTGTTCATATGGTTATTGCTGTATTTTGTTTGTTGTGACCGCTATTGTTAATTATTCTATGAAGAAGCAATTAGTTTTTCTTGCTAATTTCATTCTTAAGTGCATGAAAGCTTCCATATGTTGATCCATCAGTCTGGATGTTAGTCACTTATAGAAGTAGTTTTTTACTCGTTTTAAGGTTTGAATGTCTTAAGGTTTGAACGTGAATCACAAGACAGTCTAATTTGAAATTTTAATTTTAATTTTTTTTTTAAAATGACTTCACAATTGACTCTCACAATTATTGATGCTACCAAACCTTAAAACCTATGATGATGCAATTCATAGCCTTTACTTTCAATTGGTCAACAGGAAAAAGGAATTCTGTATAACCACACAGATCATATTATATTGAATGTGGAAAATGACGGTACAGGGGTGGTGATTGACTCCACTCTAGAAGTAATTGTTGAACAAATTTAATCACTAAATAAACAAAAAGACAAAAATACAACAACAGGATTAAGAAGAAAAAAAATAATGAAAAAGAGAGAATGAGAGCTCAGCTATGGACTTTTTGTAGTAATGATTAACACCCAGACATTTCATCTTGATTCTAAGAGCAATTGGAGGATTGAAATAGCAATAAAAAGACAGAGATCTAGTGATTACTAAGCACCGGAGTAGGTTCAGTAACAGAATTTGGTTTTTAGTCACTCTGTTTTGTCTTCTTCCGAATCACCAGTTGATATTCCATGGTTGCTCTTACTTAGTCTAGCTTCTGTTGCATCTCGAACATCTTTGGAAGGTAACGGGGATGGCTTGATGAGTGTAAGAGTAGTATGATCCTTGTCAAATTCTTCATTTGATTCTCCGGAAAATGCATACCTATCAAGATTAGAAGGAATCAATCAATTAAAATAGTGTTCAACAACTTTAGAAGATATTAAGGCTAAAAAGCAACATCTATCATTTCAAAAAAGATATTTAAAATTAGGTATGGCAAAATTTTCTATCCCTGGGATAATTGCTTTGAATTTTTTTAAGGATAAGGATGGACCATACTGTCGGAAAAGGTCAAGCTTTTCTTATGTCAATTACCTCGTTGAACTCTGAGAGGGTGCCCAAAGAGTACAGATGATGCATAGAAGAGAGAAAGATAAGACTTGCCAGAGGGCTGGGATGATCCAGGCATTCTGCCAGTGCTCATTATAGACATCCTTTGACTTAAAGTAGAGCTGCAGGTATAGAATTACAAAAATTTTTAAGTATTTGCATAATGAAAACAAAAATAAAGAAGCATAATAAAAAGAAAAAATCAGAAAAATAAATTTCAATAATAATAATAATACACTTATTGAGCTAAGAATTCTATAATATTAATATTATTAAATTGGACTAAAAAACATTAATATTATATTTTATGTATCATCTTGGCATGGACTGGCTACTACCCACTTTAAAGTGTCATAAATGCCTGTTTTTTCTTGTCTTTCCTTGGCCCAGGATTAAGTTGTAAGAATACCCAGAAAAGCTTTAACTGGTGCCCCTAAAAAGCTGCAGTTTCTATTATTTCATTCTTATCTTTCTAGTTTTGAGATTTCAGGCATTTAGCTTACAGCTTGAAGTTGGGCAAAAAATGAAAAAACTGGCATACTTCTCATCTTGTTCTTTCAAGGTATGCATTTCCACTATTTACATAAAAACTAAACAGAAAACATCAGCATAATAATCCTCAATTACCTCATAGCATATCCAACCCACAGATACAATAACCGCAACTGCCAAAGCATTTGTGAACTTCCTGTATATATCCAGCTTTACCAGCATCCTTCTAGCCTGCCCCATACATCAGTGAGGAAAAGCTCCAATTCAGAAAGCATTGAAAGATACAAATAGACACAAAAAGTTGATGTTACATAATGAAGAGGAACTTTAAGCTTAAGCTGACCCACACAAACCCCATGGAAACAGATAAAACTAGAAGGGAAGAGGTATTTTCCTGATCTTTGAAGGGGATAAACCCAGTGCATAATCAAAAGCATGCAGAAGACCACACATCAAATAGAAAATATTTGCAAGTAACTATGGTTAAGATTAGTATCTTCATCACTCATTCTAGAAAACTTTTACCATTAGTTGTAGAAATTTACAAGAATAAACAAATGAAGGCACCTTAATTTTCCGCATTAGAAGCCCATCAGAAACCAGGAATATGCGTTTTTGTTTTGCAATCATATTAGAAAAATTCAGTGAACCTAAGTATTTAGTTCGTCTAAGTAGAACCTGTAATTATCTTAGTACAAGTTTAGTTCATAGTAGATAAATATCACAAAGCTTACAAAAATCTCCTCTTTCTTGGTATATGACTCATCAAATTTCCTATCTCTATGAGGTGGCTAGTGTCTAAGCTGAAATATAACCTATTTGACTTCCCCACATTCCTCTTTTAAGGAAAAAATGAGGCCTAATGTAAGACTGTCTTATGCATTTCCTTTTCAGTCATATAAGTAACATAGAAGGGCCATGACTTCTTTACCATGAACCAGAGAATTCATTGTTAACCATCAGGTGACAAACAAAACTAAATATCTGATGAACAAGACAAAAAAAGTACCTGAAGTTTATTTAAAGTAGCAGAAAGGGAAGTAAATATCCACAGAATGAAGAAAGCATCCAAGATTCCCACAGGCAGAACCAAAAACAACCTTGCCTTTCCAGAAAGATCACTAACTGCACCAACATTTTCCACCAACTCAACAACTTCGGATGCTGAAAAGAAGGTCACTCCAAGCATGACAACCTTTGATGTAAGACCACCTAGAGTAGGTCTGACAACACCATAGCCCATAGAAACCATTAGAATAATGATGCGTGCAACTGTGCGCTTAACTGTACCAAAAGTGACTGCCCATATGGTGATCCCAGTTGGCCTGATTCCAGTCTCATTGAATTTGGCATACTCAAAATACCAAAGAGCCATTTCAAACATGCTGAGTGTTATCACTACTGTTATGCAGTTCTGCAAAGGAAAAACTTCTCTCCAAAATCTTGCATACTGAGAGAACCAGAAGATCCCAAGGATCACAAAAGCAAGTGACATAAGCCCATAGAAATTCATCAGTGGTGCCATTCTACCAGGTAGATACCCAGTAGGATTTTTCCATACAGTTTTTCCCTCCACAATCAAGTCTTTAAGATTCAAATCACAGTGAATGAAATACAAGTTGTACATCCCAGTTTTAGTAATAGGTAAAGACTTTGATGGCAATGTTGCAACCAACTCATCTTGATTAAATGAGACATGAAAAACCTGAGGCCAGCTGGGATCATTTATGGAAGGCCTGTGAATAACTTCTCCTTGCAAACACACACCCAGTTTGGCAAGATCAGCAGTACAGCATACAGCTCTTTGACCCCCATAAGCTGAACCCCCAATTGTCTCTCTGTCTTCCACCTCAAAAACAATGGCATGAATAGGCCCCGAGCTAAAGTTGGAAGACTCTTCAGTTCTCCGGAATGAAATCTTTTCAAAACTGGTTTGGGAGTACCATAACAGACCAGGAAATGAGAAGAAAACAAAAGGAGGAAATCATTCCAAATTTCAATTGTTCCCCATTAAAGACTAAAATTAGAAAGAGAAATGTGAATAAAATCATACTTCCAATCATATCAGATCCTAACAAGTTTCCAAATTTCGCAAAATTTCAACAAAAACTTACTATCCCAACTACAAAATCAAGAGATCTCATCACTACATTGCCGAATTATAGAAAAAAATCAAGAAGAATTACCGGATGTAAGACTCCCCATTAGCAGAGACGTCGCTTTCTTTGCTATTACCAGTCAGGGAGGAGTAAATTCCTTCGCTTCCACCGTGAACAACGAATGCATTGCCTTTGCTCACGAACGTCTCCGCGTTGTACTGGTGAACTGAAGCTTCACCGACAAACGCAAAACAGACACATAGAAGCAGTAGACGAAATGGCGATTCTTTGAGCTTAAGCATTGCAATTAGTATGATAATCGCCGGAGAAAACAACCGGAGAATTCCGACGGAAGAAAGTTCTAGAAAATGAGATAGGGGAGTGTTTGGATCTGCTGATGCAGTGAGGGAGGGAGCGTGAGGAAGAGTACACTTCTTCAAATGCAAGACACACAGTAAAGACCAAGGAGAGGGTTGGGTAAACTGGTAAGCGGCTTGTTCTAGCTTAAGCAAGTTCTCGAGTTTGGGTCCTTGTGGATGCATCAGCCCCCGCTGGGAGACTCATCCACCATTT